TTACACTTAGAACTACAAGCATAAACGAGTCACCTAAAAAGGTTGAGAGAGGGCTTCAGTCATCAAAGCGTAAGGAATAGGCTGTTGGGGAAGGCTTCTGAGATGCTTTTCTGAGCTACATTTAGAAAACAGAGTAGAAGCAGGCATTCGTAGTGGAATATTATTTCTAAAAAAAAAAAGAGAGAGAGAGAGAGAGAGAGAGAGAGAAAATGCTAAGTGAGTCAGCCTGGGTAGCAGGTGTTGAGAGAATGACAGGAGCTAAATTCCACAAGCTCTAATATTAACTAGATGTATAACCCTGGACAGTTTGCTCAACCCCATGTGTTAAATGCAGATAACACTTCTTTCATGGTGTTCTTAAGAGGATCATGTTTGTCAAAGTTCTTAACATGACACCTGGCACATGAGATGCACTCCAATGTTTGTTAGACCTGATTTGCAGAGAAGCATTCTGAACATTTTAGTCACCTTCAATTGACTTTCTACAAGTCTCCATTATTGCATTCCTATGTTTATCAGGAATCTATGCAAAGGCTTCAGTGACTTTAGACTTGGACAAAATAATGTCTTCAACTTAATTTCTACATGATGCAGGTGTACCTATGTGCCAGCTTCTTTGATCATTAGAGTATATAAGCTTAATCTTTTAAAAACCCCAGAATAATAATGAACTGTGCCTCCTCGAATTCACACTATTGTATAGGTCCCCTCCACAATAAATTTGGTCACTTATCTAGGAGCATGTAGCAACAATGACATTTATGGTTCCGATATAAGATATCCCCCCCAAAGCTCATGTGTGACAAAATAAAAGAAATTTTAGAGGTGAAATGATCAGATTATCAAAGCCTTATGTTAATCCATGCATTGATCCACTGATGTGGATTATCTAGGTGATAATAATAGACAAATGGGGTGTGGTTGAAGGTGGTGGGTCACTAGAAGTTTGCCTTTGGAGTTTATATTTTGTCCCTAGTGAATGGAGCCTTCTCTGCATCCTGTTATGTCCTGAGCTGATTTCCTCCTCCACATCCTCTTCCATGGTGTTCTGCTTCAGCTTGGGCCCAGCAAGCACAATGGAGCTGACCATCTAGGAACTGAGACCTCTGAAACCATGAGTCCCAAAATAAACTTTTCCTCCTCTACTTTGTTCTTGTCAAATCTTTGGATACAGTGATGAAAAAGCTGTCTAAAATGGACACTGCACTAGTTCTGGAACTAAGCCTTCAGAAAGTCTGTTACCAGGGTTGGGCACGTAGCTCGGTGGCAGAACGCTTGCCTAGCACATGGGAGGCACTGGCTTTGATCCTTAGCACCACATAAAAGTAAACAAATAAAATAAAGGAATTCTGTACATCTACAACTACAGAATCAATTTTTTAAAAAGAAAGAAAGTCAGGTACCTTCTGCTTTTATGCTTTTGTGAGCCTTGAGCTGTCATGTCACAAATCTGGCTACCCTACTGGAAAGATCACATGGGGGAAAAGTAAACACAGAGAGGCTATGGGGAAAGGAAAGAGGTCTTGAAACTTCAGAGAGAGAGACAGGTGTAGCTATCCCAACATGTCAGCTAAGCCTAGACCCTTTCATGGAACTGGAGAGAAGAGAGAAGCCATTTCAGACTGCCCAACTACAGCTGCCATCTGACTGCATGCAGCCTCAGCCAAGGGAAATCAATAGAAAAATCATTCAGTTAAACCCTTGTAAACCCACTGATGCATAAGTAATAACAAAATAGTTGTTATTAGAAGTCACTTAGCTTTGGAGTGATTTGCTCCACAGTAATAGTTAACTGTGAGCGAGACACAACTTTGACCTTTGCAGAAAGACCAAGGAATTAGAAATATCTGTGCCTGTAGGCAAATATAGGCTGATTCTTCTTTTTCTACACTCAAGTGTTCACAACCAGTATTTTAAACATCTCCTGTGACACAGCATTTGAATTAATCTCAAATAGTAAGAGAAATCTCGATGTTTAGCTAGTGTATGACCTTCCTGAATAAAAACTGCATTTCTCAGCCCCTTTGCATCCAGGTGTGTCTAAATGACTAAGTTCTGTCCAGTGGGCTATAATCAGAAATGTCACATACAGCTTTTGGATGGTGCTCTTAAAGGAAGGAGAACATGATTTCTTATCCTTTCCTCCACCTGCTGTCATTAACAGAGACAGAATGCAGATCAGGCTGCCACATTAGACAGTGAGGTCAAAATTGTACATTAAGGATGACAGCAACAGGATAGAGATGAACTATTTCTCTCATGACTGTGGAGTCACACTCCTGGACTGCTCACCTTCAGACTGTATGGAAGAGAAAAGAACATGTAATTTATTTAAACAATATGAATTTGCTATTTTTTGCTTTGACAACCAAATCTAATCCTAACAGACCCACCATGTTTTAAGCTGACAACCCCTAACTTTATAAATCCTGTTCCAGTCTCTTTCATGAACTCAAATTCACACACCTATCCACCAATTTAAATAGCCATGTAGATATCTAACAAGTATCTTAAATCTAATGTATCTAAAACCACATCCCTAAATTAACAATACTTCCAAGTGCCTTCTTCCACATTTTTTTCCATTCCAATAAGTGGAAACTCCATCCTATCAGTTACTCAATGAACAACCTTAGAGTCATGTTTATTCTTCTTTTTTCTGACATGTCTTAGCGAGGCCATCAGCAAATCTGATTGGTTCTACCATCAAAAGTTGACTGTTTTCACTCCCTCCACTATCACTAACCTCATCCAAGCTGCCTTAATTCTCACTTAGAAATTTGCAATAGCCTCCACTTTTATTCTCTCCCAGTATGAATGAGCATGATCTTCTAAGAATATGTCAGATCATGTCACAATGTTTTTCCAAAGCCTTGGGATGGCTTCCTATCTCTAGTTAATCTAAACTCTTACTTTTTCCTGAAAGTCTCCACATAATCTCATTGTTTCCCTGAAAGATGTCCTGATCTCATTTTCTACCTTTCTGCCATCATTGTACCTATCCACACTGTCCCCTTTGTCTCAGATGTATGCATAGCTTACTTCCTCCAGCCTTAGATTCTCTGAACAAAGAGAAGCCTTCTCTGGCTATCGTATATAAAACAGACACCACCACCCTCAGGAGATCTTTCTCTGGCCACCATGTATAAAACCCGTCCTCCCACTGACCATACCTACCTAAGCTGTCTACTTTTTCCTGTGACACAAATCAGCACCTGACATTATATACTTATTGTTTTCTTTTCAATACCCCCCCACACACTAGATTGTAAGATCCATGTGACTATTACGTTTTATTAATTGTTGTATTCCCAGAACATCAACCAGTACCTAGACATAATAAGGACTCAATCAGGATCTGTTGAGTGTGGATGCAGAAAATTGAACACTGTAGACCTATATACAGAATCTTAAAGAAAAAGTGCGGGGGGGGGCCTCCAAAGTGAAAAGAAAAATCAAATCGTAGGATAATTAAATTTGGTATTTCTTAGCAACTTGGTTTTTGAGTTTGAAGCTCCTCTATGAGCAAACCCTTAGCTCTACAGCCACTACAAGAGAAAAGAATATCTAAGAGGAAGACATTGAGAAAAGTCAAAATCAGATTTAATGGGACACTAAAGACAAAGAAGCCAAAAGATGTATTCCAAGTATTTCCAAACTAAAAAGAATCCAGAGAAAGCATAGTTCAGTTAATAGAAAATAAAGATAGCTCAATAATTCAAAGCATATATCAAAGCTTGCTCTTAGGTGATGTAGTGACACATGGAATAGCCAACCTTAAATGTCTAGGAAGGTGGTCATTAAATAAAAGCATGGACCATGCTTTGTTCAAAGAGATCCAGGCTGAACTCTCAAGACATTCCTTTGCACAGTAATTCCCTACTGGCTTGAGTACATGCAAATGCCATAGTTAAGGAAAGGATTATTATATCCTGTTTGTGGACCACTTTTATTTTATACCAAAACTTTGGATTTGATCTAGATGCTGTTTTTCAGTATTGAATTCATCACCTTGCAACAATGACAGAATCATTAAGTTTAAAAAAAAAAAAATTCTACCACCTATATCACCATTAAAAAAAAAAATCCAAAACATAGAACTGAGGCAGATTTCATATATGTGCATTCTGTTTATGTTTTCATTTTTAGTCCCACAGATGTTAGATAGTCAAGGTAAAAACCATTGACCTCCTCTATGCAAGACTCTGAACTTAGCCCTATGGAAAATTCAGAAGGAAGTAATTTGTCATACAAATTATACCTTTTTTGATATCAGGACAGTATGTCTATGGTAGTGTTTATCTTTTTTTTTCTTTAGTCTATTTCACAAAATTTTGATAATATGTGTTATTTTGTGATAGAATGTAACAAAAATTATATTTGAAAACACAAAAACTTGTAACCATCTGGTCTTCCTTATTTTTAAAAATATAAATCAGAAAATGTATTCACCAATATGTGTAACAAATTGCATGTAGGTATCATTCAACATGATTATCATCAGTAATGATGTGCTTTAAGCATCCATGAAAATCTGGAGGACAGAAAGCTTAGTTTCCAAAATGCTTGAAAAGTTTACCAAACTAAGCAAGGACATCTCTCTTTGTAAGCACTAAAAAAAAAAAAAAAAAAAAAAACTGAGGGATATAAAAATTCTTCTTACTCTGGACTATCCACATGAGATTTAACACATTAGCAGTTGTTATTATGTACAGATGTTGTATTAATAAGAAACTGTAGTATGTAAATTAAAGTTCTGTCCCCCACATCTCCCTCCCACCCACCTCACCCCCACTTAGTGTGCTAAAATAGGCGCAGACCATCATCTGTTTACAATCAATAGTCATTTTTTGCCCAAGGAGATATTTACAAAACCTTCCTATTGCCTTGCGAGTTCTCTGACCTTAGTTTCCAGGCCTTGAAAGTGAATTCTTTCAGAGCCACAGCCAGAAGCATGTGCAAGTGACCTTCACAGATACACTCCACAGGGCCGCCTTTAGCAAGAGCAAAATAATCCTTTGCAGAATCTCTGCCACTCGGTCAATGCATCACCCAGCTCTGCAGCCTCCAGACTGCCAGAGGACAAATGAGAAATGAAACCTTCAGAAAGCTGCCGAGCAGGAATCAGGGCAGGTTCACACCAGCGCATCAGTTAACTGGTGAGTTTTGCAGGACTTGGGGAAAACAGAGTTCACTCATCGCCCCCTGCGGGCTTGAGCTGGTGATAGAGACTGCAGGGGCTCCTCCCAGGACCCTCAATTGGCCCACCTAGAAGTGAGCTGTTTTTCTCCCCTTTCCTTTTGATAATCCATTCATCCTTTGGCTGGCTAGCTCCACTGCCCGTGGGTCCTCTTCCCGGATACATCCAGCACGCGCAGGGTACCTGCAGTAACAGCTATTATTCGAGTTCAGAATTTTCTATTTTTATTACTTAGAGTCAAGGAGTAGGGTGCAGAGGCACTGAGGAAAAACAAACTTTGCTTAAACAAAAGAAAAAGATTGCATTATAATATCTCTAGAGTATTTAATCCCAGCATGAATCCCAAACAATGATACAATTTTATTTTTTTAATATATTTTTTAGTGGTCAATGGACCTTTGTTTTATTTATATGTGTAGCTGAGAATCGAACCGTGTCTCACACATGCTAGGCAAGCTCTCTACCACTGAGCCACAACTCCAGCCCAATAAAAATTTATTTTTAATTTTTGACTTTGAGCAAATCTTAGATTCTGAAATGTTTTATGTGAAATGTCATATTGAGATTGTGCAAAATAGAATGACAATAATTATAGAACATCATTTTAATGTGCCCATTTGAAACTTGCCTTATTAAGAAAAAAACATTTTTTGAGGTTGCAATTGTAGTGACACATTCCCAATGGCTTCCCTTGGAAATACATTTGTGAGATAGAAAGACTGGGAGTTAGGCTATAAAAATGATGAAGAATTGTCTCAACTGGACTGTACAGAAGCAGAGCCATGTCATGTCTGTAGAAACCTGAACAACTAGCTATTCCAGGTTACCTTCCTCGCGGAAGAGGAATTACATGACAGATGAACTTTGGTAGATTATTCTCTAGCACTGGTTGATCAGTTTTTCTCTTCAACCAGTGGTTTTAGTCTCCTCTAAATTTATATGTAATGACCTTCAAACCATCCAGTCACAGTTGTTCACTTGCTTTTATTTCCTAGCTTAAAATCTTTCAATAATAATTACAAAAGAAGTAACCCTTATTGTAGGCTTACTATGTGATAGGTCAGATTCTTTACAGGGAAGATTCACTTAGTCCTATAATGTATCAATAAGGCAGGTCAGGTGTTGTTATTCTTAGTCACATATTTGAAAACCAAGGTTAAAGAAGAAGTGACTGACTCAAGGTTCATTGGGATTTGAGCCCAAATAATTCTTACCACTGCTATTGTTTATAGTTCTGCATTATTACATACTAGTAAAAGCCAAACTCCTTAGCATTACCTGTAAGACCTTTTTATAAAGTGACCTTATTATTCCATGAATTCCTATTTATCCTCTAAAAATCAAGTTATCGTCACATACTGACTTTCTTCTCATTCATCTTTCCTGAAAATCTTTGTGCACCTCACTGATGATTCCTATTTATTTTTTAAAACTCAACAAGAATCATCACTCTATGCAGATTTTCATTACTTGCCTAAACAATTTTTTCTCATGTTATATTCTTGTATGAATACACGTCATAGTATAGTGTAAATATTAATGTGCATGCTTATTTCTTGTTCTAAAGAAGTGTCTTTCCATCTGGGGCTTGTTTTTATTAGTGTGTGACAAAATTAGTTTAGTAGATCAAAACCAAATTTTTTCACAATAACACAGTAGAAAAATCACATAGCCTCTATACCTCAGAATGTGACATTATTTGAAAATAGGTTAGTAGCCTTTGTAAGAAGCATTTTTTTTTTTTTTGGCCAGGGATTGAAACCAGGGCCACTTACCCACTGAGCCACATCCCCAGCCCTTTTTTGTTTGTTTGTTTATCTATTTTTTGTTTTGAGACAGGACTTGCTAAGTTGCTTAGGGCCTCATTAAATTGCTGAGGATGGCTTTGAATTTGCAATTCCCCTGCCTCAGCCTTCAGAACCACTGGGATTATAGGCATGTATTATTATGCCCAGTGCAAATAATTTTTGAAATGACTAATAGAGGCAAACATGACAAAGAAGTAACATGTTTCAAATAAAATTTAATCTTTAGTTGGTGAAAACAGCTAATGTAGTTCTCCATTCATTGTAAATCAAGCCAGACTGTGTCCTCTGAGACCTGTTTCTTTTTTAAATTTTTTTTTGGTGGGGGAGGGGGGTATACCAAGGATTGAACGCCAGGGGCATGAAACCACTGAGCCACATCCCCAGCCCTATTTTGTATTTCTTTTAGAGATAGGGTCTCACTGAGTTGCTTAGCATCTCACTTTTGCTGAATCTGGCTTTGGACTCACAATCCTCCTATCTCAGCCTCCTGAGCCTCTGGGATTACAGACATGTAGCATCATGCCCAGCTTATCTGTTCCTTTTTGAGAAACTTCATTACAGTACTTTGAACATTACTTTCTCATTCTATTAATACATTATGGAATTGACTGGAGGGTGGAAGTGCATCATTTTTTACATGGGGCACAATTTATGTACAATGTCTCTAGTGCTAGAAAAGGAAGTCATGTCACCAAACTATTCTTGTCATTCTAATCTGTTTAAAATTTATTTTTACAATTTTAACTTCACACTGCTCTGAAATTTGAGTAGTTTCTAATCTTGTAAAAACTAATGCATTGGACTAGGGTTGTGGCTCAGTAGCAGAGCATTTGGCCTAGCACATGTGAAGCACTGGGTTCAATTCTCAGCACCACAAAAAATAAACAAATAAAATAAAGGTAAAGGTATTGTGTTCATCTACAACATATATATATATGTTTATATATATATAAACACTAAGAAGTCTACAAGCTGCCTGCATATTTCTTGGGTTACCATGCACATGAGTACATTGGAAAGCACCTTCTATATGTAAACACCTCCAGATAGTCATTTTCATCTCAATATCTTGATAGTTATAGAATCACAGCTTCTAAGCTATTTAATTCACTTCCAGATAGCACTGGGGTGCCAGAGCAAAAAATAATGAAAGCAGAGGAAAATGAATAAAAATATTACCTAGACTGTTGAAATGAGAGCTTTGCATAGCATTGAAGACAGCATTACTCTCTAACATATATTTATGAATGCACATTAATTACAGTGATGAAATGTTTTAAGCAAAAGGCAGGTAAAGAACTGGTAAAGAACTTTTCTGATTTCTGAGTTTACTCTTAGAAATAGTACTAAGCAGGGTAAAAGAATAGCACAATTCACATTTAACTGTGTACGTTGATTGAATTCCTTACACAGATAGTGATGTTTTGACACCCTTGTCATGTGGTATCTGTGGCAACGCAGCACTCTGCTGATTTCTCAGTCTACCTCTGTGGTCTATACAACCAAGTTAAATCTGGCCAACAGAAGCTCAGGGAATGTCATTACTATAGGCATGCACTCCCATATGCCTTCAGTTCCCATGTCAAACTCAAAGAAACTGAATGGGAAAAAAAAAGTTAAACAGGAAAATATTTCCATAGCTTTCACAACAGAAGGAATAAATGAATAGTTTTGCTCCTCTATTTTCAGGGGAATACAAGATCCAAAGAAAAAATATATATTCTGACTAAAAGAAATATCTTTTAAAATTATTTTAGACCGCAACATTAAAAAAAAATCACAAAGAAAGAGAAGACCTAGTTCATCAGAGAATTATCTCTAAGTTCCACGTAAAAGGCCCAGAAGTAAGCATTCAAATAAAGCCTTATTTAAGTGATAACTTGGTATTCAGCAATAATTTGAGTCTTTTCTTTCTTTTCAACAAAATGAACAGTAAGAATTGATTCTTCATACTCTGTGGGAGAGAGATCTTTAGAAAAAAAATGATGACCAGCCACTTACAGGTGGTACTCTATATAGAAGAGCAGCAGGTGATCTGGCTGAATCACAGTGGCTGTGGCTCTAACTATGCCATCATGATGATTTTAATAAAAGTCTGCTGTTCTCAGCAAAAAAAAAAAAACAACAATCAGTGAGATGAATAGAGAGCATACAGGATGGAAGCAAATTTTTATGCACATCAGATAGAGCACTAATCTCTAGGATATATAAAGAATTCAAAAATCTTAAAAACAAACAAAAAATCCCAAATAATCCAATCAATAAATGGGCGAAGGAACTGAACAGACACTTCTCAGAAGATGATATACAATCAATCAAAAAGTACATGAAAAAATGTTTGACATCTCTAGTAATTGGAAAAATGTAAATCAACACTACTCTAAGATTTCATCACACTCCAGTCAGAATGGCAGCTCTGAAGAATATAAACAATGATACGTGTTTGCAAGGATGTAGGGAAAGGGCACACTCTTACATTGCTGGTGGGACTGCAAATTGGTGAGACCAATCTGGAAAGTAGTATGGAGATTCCTTGGAAAACTGGGAATGGAAGCACCATTTCACCTAGCTCTCCCACTCCTTGGTTTATACCCCAAAACAGCATTTTACAAGGACACAGCCACATCAGTGTTTATAGTAGTACAATTCACAATAGATAAATTGAGGATCCAACCTAGACACAGTTCAGTAATTTAATGGATAAAAAAAAATGTGAATATATAATGGAATATTACACAGCATTAAAAAAGAATAAAATCATGTCATTTGCAGGTAAATGGATGGAGTTGGAGAATATAATGCTAAGTAAGCTAAACTCCCCCCCAAAAAACAAATGCTGAATGTCTTCTCTGATATAAGGATGCTGATTCATAGTGAGAATGGAGGGGGGCATGGGAGGAATAGACGAACTTTAGATAGGGCAAAGGGGAGGGAGGTACACGAAGGGGGTATAGGGATAGGAAAGATGGTAGAATGAGATGGACATAATTACCCTAAGTACATGTATGAAACATGAATGGTGTGACCCTACTTTGGGTACAACCAGAGACATGAAAAATTATGCTCTATTGTGTGATATGAATTGAATTCCATTCTGCTGTCATATATAACAAAGTAGAATAAATAAATTTTTTTTAAAAAGTTTTTAAAATCTGCTGTCCAGAAGACAGCACAAAGAACAACTCAGTTTGAGTGAACCAACAAAAAGAAAGAACTGAAGATGTTCAATGTATTCTCACCTTAGAAATCTTTTGCATTGCTTGAACATAATGATATCTGAGTGGTTTAGTTAATACTCTGACTAGTAGAATTTCTTCTGTGGATCCTTCAATATTGGAAAGGAGCAAAAACATATGAGTGACTTCAATCTATCTATCTCGGATGGACATCATATAGATTTTGCCTGCTTAGAACAATGAACTATTTTTATTAGTAAATACATTTGATTCTTGGATGGTGATACAAATGATATGAGACATATTTTTACTAATGCTGTCATTTTCAATTACACTGGCTTTTCAAGAGGAGACAGGTCAACTAGACACCTGAGGAGTTGCCTGCAGCCACGCCTACAGAGGTAGACCATGGTGACCTTAACCAGTCTGTCCTTCCTAAGTCAGGAGTGTAGTCTCCATTGCTCTGAATATTTCAGTAAAAGGGACTTCAACAGCCAAAAGTTGGAAAAGTTGTGAAGGTATGTTATGGTTTGAATATGAAGTGTCCCCCAAAAGCTCACATGTGAGACAATGCAAAAGGGTTCAGAGGAGAAATGCTTGGGTTGTGAGAGTCTTAACCCAATCAGTGAATTAATCCCCTGATAGGGAATAACTGAGTGATAACTGATGTGGAAGGGTGTGGCTAGAGGAGGTAGGACTTGGGAGCTTGGATTTTGGGGTATATATTTTGTATCGGGAGAGTAGAAACTCTCTTTTTGCTTTCTGATCATGATGTGAGCTGCTTCGCTCTACCATACTTTTCCACCATGGTATTCTGCCTTACCTCCAGCCCCAAGGAAGGGAGCTGACCCTGAATGGACTAAGACCCTGAATGGGCTAAGACCTCTGCCCTTTAAATAAATTTTTCCTCCTTCCTAAAATTGTTCTGGTCAGATCTTTTAGTCACAGCAGTGAAAAAGCTGACTAAAACAAGGTAATAGTTGGTTATTCATTAATGATTCATGAAGTAAAAAATTAAAAGAATATCTTTTAAAAAAAATATAATTTCCATCTCAAAGTTTTGGACACTTAGTAATTTCCTGTTTTGAAAATAATATTAATAAAGATAAGTTCTGCCAAGGGGAATAATGGTTTTTCTCTCTTTATTACTAGTTCTGTAAAGCTGAAATGAAAAAGCAATGGGTTCTAAGTCTGGAAATTTAATTACTTTGTGCCAAAGTTAGAGATGAAGAGAAGAATTCATGCAACCCCATAAACTAAAGTTGAAAATAAAACAATTAAAATGAGGAGGAAATTGTTAAATGGGGAGGATAAATATGGCAAAAGTAAATGAACTTAACCATCAGAAATTCTGTATTACCTATCTCAAACTCTGCCTCAGGGCCTTGGAGAAAAAAAGGCAACATCAACACAGCAAGCACAGGGCCAAGGCAGCCATGAATTGTGGCTCTTGTTTATATGTTGCTTAACCCACAGATCCCAGTCTGGAGCAGCACAATGAACCCCTTCTACCACTTCTTAGGCCACATTTGGCAGAAGCAGAGTGAGCTCTCACCTTGAATTCGGAGGGCTATCCTCTCCCCATGCTCTTCTCTATGCAGGCAGCTGACCCAGGCCCAGCGGCAACACCTCAGGCCTCATTCCAGGGATCTACTGAGCCCAGAGACCTTCTGATGTGAGCTAGTACACAGACACACACACTTACAGAAAGCAAACTCTTGAGAAGTTGGGGAGGTAGAAATGTTGGCAAAGTGTTGGTTCCCAGGAAGTAAAAAGAATTGAATAATAAAACAAGAGAAAGAAAAATAAGCACCATAATTTCCAGAAACAGCTATGACTGGTTTTTAAATTTGAGTGTTATATTCCCACCACTGTCTGTACTCCCCAGTTTATTAAGCTAGTCTTGATTAGGTGAGACTATTTTAATGGCTCTTTTAAGAAACCAATTATCAACCTTAGTTTTCTGTTTTCAAAGTAATTAATTGCCATGTCTACCATTGTTATTTCCTGGCTTTTCTATTTTTAAAGGGAGACCAGTTTGCTATGAATGCTGAAGAGCTGGTTCCAGGGATATTAATCAGAGATGCCTACATCCCCGCTGCTTTCCTCCCTATGAAGGCATTAGCAGGACTTCCCATACCTCCATGCATTCCCCTCAAGCATACATACTTACATTGCTTGCACACGTTTTCCAGCATGGATGTGAAAACCTAACAACATAAATAAAGTATTTCACCCAGAATTCAGTTGTTCTTCTCCACTTTTTAAAGGCCCTGACTACAGAAAGGATCACGCTCGATGTACAAATCTTACACAGAAACTAGGGAAAAGGAAAACCTGCCCCAGTGCCCATTGCTTTGCTGTCGCCAGCTGGCCTGATGGCAAGATAAGCTGGGTTCAAAGGAGCTGGCTGCATCAATAACTAAGAAAATGGCGAAGAAACCATGCAGCAGGCATACATGAGTTTCTAAGAATGAGGGCGGGACAGCTCAGTGACCCCAAGGGTCAGGTCCACACTGGGCAGCTGGGCAGTGCTGGAAAGAAAAAAAGAGAGCACACCAGGAAGCCCCTATTTATTGGGGAGAAGACATTCAAATAGAATATTCCATCCAAATAAGGCAAAGGGTAGGGCTTCAAAGGATGGAGTCTTGCTTGGTGATGTCTTGTAGTCAGCAGATTGATTGACATCTTGGCAAGTTACATCCATCTCAGGTGCTGTGTGGGATCACAGGCAGAGCGAGAGGAGAGGCACCTTTGGGTTGCACAGCCCAATCAGCAGGCAACACCAGACCAGTCCCCTCACAGGCTAAAATGCGCACAGCCCACACACACACAGCCCATGGCTGGCTGGCAACACTTTACCTCACATCTTGTCCACCATGTGCAATACGTTGCATTAAGTGTCACTGACTGCATACACTGGGAAGTATAAATGGCATGCTAAGCTGTGTAATCTCTAACCCTCAACCTGTGGCCCAGCTGAATCGGTAATTCTTCTTTTTTCAAAATTGTGTTTAAAGGTTTTTCTTTATTATTTTGAGATGAAAATATTAAAACTGAGTTTTCTTTTGAGTGCAATTATATCTCAAATAGTTTGCATATCTACTATTTTCATTTGTTTTATTTCTAAATATGATTTTACTATGATTTTACTCTATCTTTTCAAATGTGTTCATTTTAGCATTTTTAAGTAAGAATTTTTTAACTAATTTTCATTATTAATTAGTAGTTTTATTATTTTATTATAAGAAAATATAGTATTTTGTGATTTCAATGTTAAAATTTAAAGGACTATTTCTTTGATGCTTGACAAGAAAGCAGGTTCACTGTTATCAGATACATATCTGTTAATTTCACTTTAATATACACTTTTTAATTTAAACCATAATCCCTAAGATGAAAGAAGCATCAAAAAGTCTAATTTTGATATTTCTAAGTGGACACCAAGAGTTCTATTTGATGGGCTCTATTGCCTTCACATCTTTTTTTTGGTTTAGTGCTCTGAAGGGTTATTTTGTGTTGAGGGAAAATAGAGTCAGTCATCTGAGAGAGAAATTATAGTTTTAGAGTAACTATTTTGGGGAATGGGAAAGGGAACAGGTAATATAATAGTGTTGGCAGCAGGGATGTCTTAAGTGAGGTTGGAGGCCATGAACATATCGGAACAGAAATCAACACGATTATGCAATTTTCACAGGCAGGGTTCCTCATGCATGGTTTAGCAGTGGTGCTGGGTTGATTTAGGATTGAGCTTTTACCAGACAGAACTACAGGGAGAGAGCAAAGACTTAAGTCCTTGTGTACACTATTACATGGAGGCTGAAGAGGAAAGGAGGCAAACTCAGCAGACATCTATAAAATGAGACAAAATGATGAATCCAGAGGAAGAAAATTTTATGAAATCTGTAGAATAGATTTAGTGGGAAAGTAAAATGATAAAATTAGAGTGCTAGAAGATCAAGGGTCATAAAATGGTATACTACTTTTTAGAAAGGTATAAAGGGATGGTACTAGAGAACGAAACTGATCCAAATATGTGCTCAAGAGAATATGCCACAATGAAATCCACCATTCTCCACAGTGGAAACAAATAATGGCATTAGTCCTGTGGAAAACCCCAAGACTCTATAATAGGGAAATGACACTAAGATTATAGAATAGAAAGGACTTCCAGGTTTTTTAAGTAGGTACAAAACATAATGGAAATAAGAAGTAAATTTTTAAATATAATGAATTAGAAGTTCAAGCGAATCATGGGGATTCAGGATGTATATTAGAAGGGATAATAAGTAGGTAAGTCTCCGGTATGATCAGTCTCAGGTTTGTGTTTGTCTCTCCCACTACACTGCACTTCCATGTGAGCAGAGTCTCTGTTTTTCTCTTGTTCTACATGGTATCTCTATCATTAACCACAGAGTTTGGAATATAGTAAATGTTCAATAAATATTTGTTGACTGAAAGAATTTAAGGAAAGATAAGTGTGAGAAATAGAAAACACATTAAGTTCAAAAAGTTTATTTCAATAAATTTTAGTATGCCAAAGCAATGAAATACCTTACAGTAAAAAATAAAATAGCACTAATGGTACACAAATATTAACGACATGAGAATTAAAAAAGAGAAATTCTAAAATTGTATTTGTTTTAGTACAAAAGCTCCATTTTTGGTAAATAACAATTTATTAAATAGGTGTTAACATATACGATTGTTTATACCTGGGTGTTATGATAATGAATGATTTTTTAAAATTTTGTTGATCTTGACCATTTATATTTCTAAATATCCACAATCAACATATCATTATGGCTGACAGGGTTTTTGTTTTATTGTTATTAAATGTAGGCACAGGTTAAATTAGGATCCAACAGATATATCTCTGCTCTAGTCACTAATGAATCTTGCAATTTTCTAAGCAGCAAGTGAAAGCTCTCCCATTAATGTGTCCTTTTATTTAGGCAACAAAAGCTTGTAGAACAGAATTGTTCTAATTTCTTATTCATGATAATAATAAACAGCTCTGCCACTGGTAGTCTTCTATTTTCACTTATTCATTTTTCTCACCAGCAGTCTTTTGTGATAAACATTTGTTGTTAAAGGATTGAAATAGCAATGAAGATTATCTCATCCTTCTCTTACTACACACCAATGTATAGCATATACTATGTAATATTTACTACATACTCTTGGCTAATTCACTAATTTTTCTTCCCACTGTTCAAGAACTTAAGTGTTTTTAAATGACATTGTCATCTCGAGTTAAGATCTTTTTACCCAATCTTTTTCCAATTGGTTGAGGGAACCCAAAAATACAGAAGATAAAAATGAGGTCTCAGATTCCAAAATATAGACTCAGAGAATAACTGAGCTTACAAAGACCTTAAGACTTATCTCAACCAACCATCTTATTTTATGAATAAGGATGGAGAGGAAATGAATTGCTAGTTAGTGCCTACTTCTTAGCCAGTGTGTGCATTACCAGGCAGGGTCTACATGGCTAATTAATGCCTTTTTATATACTTTTTTCTGCTGTAACTATTTCCTTCAGGAACAGACATAGTTATTATGAAATTCACATGCCAAATATCAGGATCCTCTCAAACATTTTAATGTCATTGTCAAGTTCGTTCTTTTTTTTCTGCTAAAAATTATCATTTAAATATTACCAAATAATTTTCAGCAGTTCCTGTCATTCAAGTAGTTTTTCTAACTTCATTTGGCACAGGGCCAAAAGCTTATCATAGAAATGGAAGCATTTGATAAAGACTAAGCATAATTTCCTTCAAAATGCACTTAGAAACCTTTTTCCAAGGAGTTCCACCAGAACAAAGATGTTTTTAAGCAGTCCTGAATATTAATATTCCGAATATAAATGAGCCCTCTTACTCTCCTCATATTTCTTATGGAAAGTGATTGCCAAACTTCACACAACACAGGCATACATAGGGAGATAAACAATATTTTAAGAGATCCAAAATAATGATTTTATATTTCTTGAGACTCCAGTTTCTCTTGTGAAAAAAATTAATAGTGATATTTATTTGGGGCACTTACAAACTGGTCTTTTCCCACTGTAAATGTAGCCTTCACTAGCACTAAATGAATAGTATTCACAAGAAAGATTATAGTTGCATTAACCCTCTTTGAAATAAATGAAGAGAGCTACACTGTAAAGGAGAATCCTATTAATAATTGATGTTTTGCATTTCACAGCAATAAGGAATCTTATTGTAAAAAAATAAATGATTTTACCTTGAAGTTCATAAAATTATAAAGCTGCTTATAGACATTCACTTCCCAATGAGTGATATCTTCATGTCTGCATTTGTTTCATAGCAGAAATGTCTGCCTTCCTGCCTAAGCTCTAAACTCTCCCAGCAGCCACATCTTTGGCCACAGCCTTTGCTACTTTATTAAATATGCTGCAACTGATTTCCAGAGAACTAGCTTAGAAAGCCTTTGGTAGTTTTTACTCAAAATGTTTCATGATACCAAAGCCCTCAGGACAAAAGCCAAAGGAGAGTTATTACTTGCTTCTAAATATATGTGGATGAAGTGGAATACAAATAAAAAGAAAGAGCTCTTCTAGCTCCATGGTTGAGATACTGGGATTGTTAAATGAGAATAATTTTTAAAGGCAAAATTGTTATTGTCATGTAGATATAAAATGGAAACCCAGCAGTGATTTTATTCAACTCATCAAATTAGAGAAATTCCAAAGATAGGTGCATATATAAAGAAGATGCATATTTGACATGAATTTACAAATGGATGAAAAACTATCTTTTTCACAGTAGAAGCATAGTTGTCCCTCCACTGAACCAAATTATTTGTTCCATGATAGACCACAATTATTTACACTGCTGTCTAAAATTTGAGGAGTTGTAAAACATCTCAAAGCAATGAAAGTTTTGCAGCCTCCATTAAATTAGAATCCAATAACTCGAAAGGTTGTGCTAGAAAAAAATGCATACAATTCATAAAAGCAAACAATTTTCCCTTGACTCAAATACAAAGTATGGACATTTAAAAAATAATGTAAACAGGTAATCAGCTTATCCAAGAGGTCAAGATAGCAGAAATTCTGAAATGTTAGGTGGAAAATATCATTGAGATATACAGTATATGCTATTGCTTCTAGCTATATTCAATGATAGGAAGACAATGAAATAAATATTGTGTTGCATAATCGCCATTAAAATGAGATTTGCTTCTGATTGGAAGAAGTTTGTAGG